CTGTTTGCCTTGTAACTTCCATGTGTGTTTTCAGACTGCCTGGTAGACATCTACTTGCCTGCAGTCAGTAAGGGGTTTCATAGCAGCCTGTGAGGCAAAACTGAGTTCGAAGAGCTTCCTGCCTTAAAGGCAATAAAATAGTCTGACCTTTAGAAAGTTCTAAAAGAGTCTCAGGCCTTTATTGTGGTTGATGTTGAGCTCTCATGGTCTTGGAAGCTAAGCTCAGGCACTGCTGGTCTGGTAGAATAAATGGTAGTCTATGTGTATTTCTTTGAAGAATCACCACACTGTTTCCTGTAGAGATTGTACGAACAGTGTCTAAGTACTCCTCTGTCTCTCTGTCCCAACACTTGGGGATTGGCTAGTTGGATGATGCTGCACTCAGAGTGTGGAACATTCTTCAGCCATTAAAGATGATGATGCAGAAAAGTGGCTCAGAAAATTCTGGACAGGGCTATGCAAGGATATTGTCTTTGGGTGATGAGTTATTTTAAAATGTGTTCTTTGGGATTTTCTGTTATTCCCAAATGTTGTACGATGAGCTTGCAGCATTACCATAAATATCTTGTAATGCACACAAGTTTACCAGGATACTAAATGGAGAAAGTGTTGGTAAGCAGCTTGCTTTCTTAAGCCACAATTAAAAACGAATTCTGTTACTCCAACTTTTACCTTGTTAAGTAGAGGCCCAGAGAGGTTGAGTAAGTTACCAAAGCTCACACAGCTACTGTGTGTTAGAGTCTGGATTCCAATTCAGGTATTCTAGCTCTGGAAACAGTGTTGTCCAGAGAATACTGAAAAGAAACTGGTCATTAATAATTATTATATTGTGAGAAGTTCTCTAGCAGTGCTGCCCACTAGAACTTTCTGCAGTGATTGAACTTATCTGTGCTGTTCAGTATAGTAGCCACAGGAAGGTAGCTACAGAGACCTTGAAATATAGTTAGTGCCACTGAGGAACTGAACTCTTAATATTACTTAACTTTAATTATTTAAAGAACTCAAATTAGCAAGAAAAGAAGAGTATACAAAAGACACGACCACATGCTATTCGAAAGAAGACAAACAGTCAGCAAACGTACGAAAAAATGCTCAACATCACTAATCATCAGGTAATTGCAAATTAAAACTGCAGTGGGATACCATCTTGCGTCTATCAGAATGGCCTTTTTTTTTTTTTTTTGAGACAGAATTTCATGATGTCATCTTTGGTAGAGTGCTGTAGCGTCATAGCTCACAGCAACCTCCAGCTCCTGGGCTTAAGCAATTCTCTTGCCTCAGCCTCCCAAGTAGCTGGGACTACAGGTGCTTGCCGCAACACCTGGCTATTTTTTGGTTGTAGTTATCATTGTTGTTTGGCGGGCCCAGGCTGGATTCGAACCCGCCAGCTCTGGTGTATGTGGCTGGTGCCCTACCCGCTTGAGCTACAGGCATCAAGCCCAGAATGGCCATTATTAAAAAGTCATAAAATCTATAAATGGTGGTGTGAATACAGAGAGACAGGAGTACTTATACACTGTTGGTGGACTACAAATTCATACAATCTCTACAGGAAGCAGTGTGGTGATTCTTCAAAGAAATACACCAAGCCCAGAATGGCCATTATTAAAAAGTCATAAAATCCATAAATGGTGGTGTGAATGCAGAGAGACAGGAGTACTTATACACTGTGTTCGTACAATCTCTACAGGAAACAGTGTGGTAATTCTTCAAAGAAATACACATAGACTACCATTCAATCCAGCAATCTCACTGCTAGGTATCTACCCAAAGGAAAAGAAGTCATTTTATAAAAAAGACACCTGCACTCAAATGTGTATTACAATAAAGTTCACGATTGCAAAGAACGTGGCCATTTACCACTTTTTTCAAGTAGAGAAAGAAAAATGTAGTATGTATATGCCATGGAGTACTACTCAGCCACGAAAAGGAAGGGGGTAATGTCTTTCATAGCAGTCATCAGATTGCACTTGCCAAGATCCATGAACATGGGATGGAACTGAAGACCATTATCCTGAGTGAAGTATCTTAAGAATGGAAAAACACATTTTCACTAATGAGTGGGAGCTACATGATGGGCACACGCAGGCTCGAAGAGCTGTAAAGGACCAAGAAGGGGGAAGGTTTGTATGAGAGGGATAAAAACTTACTATTGGGTATAGTGAATACCATTTTGGTAATGGGAACACCAAAAGCCCTGACTGAAACATCAGACAGGGTACCTATGTAATAAAAACATTTGTACCCGCTCAATGTTTTGAAATAAAAAATAATAAAAGACCAGTCTGAACAATATAACAAGACCTAATCTCTACTATGGAAAAAAAAAAAAGAGAGAAAGAAAGAAACCCAGTAAGCAGCTGAGAGTGTACTCAGATGACCACTTCTATTCCTGGGCCTCAGGGAGAACTTGTTAAGAGTGCTCTGCCTCTGAGCATGTTAGGTGACCTTTCAAGGCAAAAACAGAAGAGCCGCCCTAAGCAGGGACTGACTCCATCCCTACAGTGTGCTGACAGCCACCCCCATGTGCTGTCTGTGGGCCTGGAGCTTGGGCAGTCTGTTCCAAGAATGGCAGAGCCTTAAAGATGTGCTACATTTGACCTAGTGATTCAATACTTAGGAATTTCTCTTGTAGGGATAGTCGCAAAGATGTTTATCGTATTATTGATTATAGCAGCGAAATATGATCAGCAAAGTAATAGTCCCAACACTTGGGGATTGGCTAATTGAATGATGCTGCACTCAGAGTGTGGAACATTCGTCAGCCATTAAAGATGATGATGCAGAAAAGTGACTCAGAAAATTCTGGACAGGGCTATGCAAGGATATTGTCTTTGGGTGATGAGTTATTTTAAAATGTATTCTTTGGGATTTTCTGTTATTCCCAAATGTTGTACGATGAGCATGCATTATTTTTGGTACCTAGAAAAAGAAAAGGTCTGACAGGTAATATAATAGGGTGTTTGGGCCTGTGAGTGTGGCTACTTCCCAGAGGTGACTGCAGGACTGAATGTGAATTCCAGTCCTTGCATACACCTCACTTTCAGCATTCCCATGATGGGGTGCATAAGTATCCCCAACATGTGAGAGAAAGATAATAGGACAGGAAGTGAGCATTTATTGGACTTTTCCTGACTACCAGGAGCTGTCATGTGGGAAACCTCATTTGGCATCTGTGCCCTTGGGGTTACCACCATTTCCTCACTCTTTATGACTTCTGTGCAACTCAGAGAGGGAAGTGATGGCCCTGAGGTCACACAGCATGGCTTCCCCAGGTCCTTGCTCATTCTGTTGGGCCACATACACTTGCTCGGCTAACGATGGTTCCAAAGAAGTAAAAAGAGGCCAGCTCCCCATGTCTGGAAAAGCATAACTGCTGGAGACCAGTCAGCTCACCTCCAGTAACTACTATATGCCAGCCAGAGCCCATGAGGCTGGAGCACCCCAGTGTTTAAGGGTGCATCTGCTGAACACAGAATCCCAGAGACTGCGACCCCCCCCCCTTCCTGGTTCCTTGGTGTTTGACATATAGTAGGTACTCAGTAAATATTTCTTGAGTAAATAACTTCTGTGTCCCACTTTGCCTGATACAATTGATAAGTCATCCAGCATGTGCAGCAGCAAGTCTAGGGAAGGAATGATCATGGTGGGTGCAGGAGCTTTGGGTTAGTTGTCTGGGTGGGAAGGTGGAAGAGCACTTGCATAGAAGATCAGGGAGAGGAGGATAGAGAGTATGTTTGGAGCAGGGGCAGGGGCGGGGGATGAGACTGGACAGGAAATTTGGGGTTCAATTTTAAGTGGCCATGGAGATTGTGTAGGAGGACAGTAGGGAGCCCTTGAATGTTTTTGAGCAGGAGATGAAAGATCTAAAGCACATTCCAGCAGAATATGCCTCCTGACTCCAAATGGAACTGCAGATATGCCTTGTTGGTCTCTCTGGATTCGGGGGGCAGGGTCACTCTCACCCCCTTATATTCACCTCCATATTCCTCAGCAAAAGGTGGTGATTGCGAATGTCTCTCAAAGCTCAGGCAGCCAAGGCCATTTGAACTGTTACTGTTACTGTGCCAGAGGCCCAGACAAGGAATTAGACTTTTGGTCTTGCCTGGAGGGCTTTTCCCCCACACAGTAAAGCACAGGTTCAGAGGCTCCATCACAAGAAATGGGCTTTTAATTTGCCAAGTGGATAAATAAGCCACAATTCATTCGATGGAGATTGATGGGCTGCCCATCTGTGGTAGCCAGTGCCTTTGCTCCCTGCCTGACTGTGAGGGCCCAGGCCAAGGGCAGAGATCAAATAACTGCCCAAGCAGTAGCAGACCAAGGGGTTGATGTTGCCTAAGGCACAGTGGTTTGGACTTGGGGGGTGCAAGACCCCACCTGGGTTTGAATTCCATGTTGTTCTTTACTGGCTATTTGATTTGGAGTGTGTCACTTTACCTCTTTAAGCCTCAGTTTTCTTGTCTGTAAAATGGGGATAGGCTCATAGAGGGACTGCAGTCCAGCAAAGTGATCTCATGTCAAAGCTTAGCCTGGTGCCCGGCCTAAGTTCACTGCTGCATGGATGCTGCTCTGGGTGATGCTGGTGGAGGAAGCCTGGTGGCTGTGGGCACCTTGAGTGAGATGCCCTAACCAGCCTGATGAGTCTTGGCAGCACTGAAGGCAGAGGGAGGTTTGGCTGGGCTGTGCAGTGAGCGCAAGAGAGGGGCTACCAAGGAGGGGTGACACCCAACAGGACACTGTATGCCAGATAGAGTGACTGTCTTGTTTCAGTCTGCCCAGCTGTCATACCAAAAGTCCTGTGTCCTGGGATGTCTTGGGCAAACCAAGACTGTTGGTCACCCTAGTGCTCAGCCACGATGTCTGCCCCAACTCTGTGGGCAGCAGGGAACTGGGACAGGTTTGAGCTTGGGGGCCAGGCAATGTGATTTGTGTCGGTTGAGACTGTGGCTCTGTGCGTTTCCTTTGACAGAAGTCTCCCACCCTGCTTGTCCTTGCAGGACCAGCTGAAGCAGTGTTTCTCCAGGCGACCCCCAGAGGCCAAGGACACAGACACTCTCGTGCATGAAGCCGACAGCCAGTATGGGACGTGGACAGAGCAGCGTCAGAGCAGGGAGAGGTAGGATGTTTGGGTGGGGATTCTGGCGGCAGGGATGGGCATCTGGGTCGGAGTTGATTTCTAGATTGCTAAACACTCTTTTGTCTGTAATTGTAAGAGGGAGTAAGTCATACTCACTGTAAAAAAAAAAAGAAAAAGAAAGAAATTTAGGAAGTACAAAAAGAAAATAACCTATGAAATATCCAAGGGAGGCAAATTCAGAGACTGGAAGGAAGTTAGGGGCGGGGCAGGTGGGCATACCCGATATGTGGGGCTGGGGAGTGGCTTCTTCATGCCTACCCGGTTTTCTTTGGGGTGATGGAAATGTTCCAGCACTACACAGTGGTGGTTGCACAACGCTGTGACTACACTGAATGGTGAATTTATGTTATGTGCATTTTACCATAGTAAAAAATGATAAGGTCATTAATAATAAAATTGGGTTGAGGTTGATGGAATTGAAAATGGCGTAAGAAAAAAATAAAAGGGAAACAAAAGTTTCCTACAGTGTCTGTGAAAGCCTTTTCCTCCCCCTAACTGTGAAACGTGTTTCGTAAATGAGCTAACTTAAATTTGACTAGAATGCCCCTGCAAGATTCCCGGACTTTGAGTCTGGAAGCCTGGGTGTCAGTTTGCGCACGTCACACTGTGCGGATTCTGTGAGGCCCCCCACCCCCATCTGAACCGCCACAGATCCCACTTGGGCACTTGCCGTAGGTGGGCGCCCCCTGCCTTCTGGCAGGGGCACTGCAGCCTCCCTTCCCCTGGCTTTCCTAGGCGCTGTCCCACTCCCAGCCCTGGGCAGGAGCGCCATCTGCTGCCTCTCCAGTGGTATTTCTCTCGCCCTTTGAGGATTTGCCTCCCCTGCGCTCCACAACCCCCCAACATCCTCCATATTCCAAGTAATAAAATCATCCCAGGGCTGACAAAAAGCATGGGAAAATGCCAATACCTGATCCAAAGTTATACTCAAGGGTGTAGTTTTTGGGTCTTTGCGGTTGGGCCCACCTATCGGGTATGCCCACCTGCCCTTTTTCAAGGTTAGGGATCCCTATGCCTGAAGACCCTGGATTCCTTGTCATGCTCTTGACTTACGTATCTGTTTTTATGTGTGTGTGGAGGGAATCCAGGGGGGAGAGAGCTAATGGCTTGAATTATTTATAAACTTTCTGTCTTATGTTTCAATTCTTGGAGTATCCCTGAATATATTATCATGGAAAGAGATTTTAGAAGTAGAAGAGATTTGAGAACCTGCATTCTGGAGTCAGACTAAGCTCAATCTAGTTCTGCCCCTTTGTACAAGCAAATTCATCTCTATGCCTCAGTTTACTCATCTTTAACAAGGCTAATATTTAATTTTATGAAGTTGATTCTAACTCACAGAATTGCGAAAGTTTAAAGAGTATAAAATAATCCACAGAGGATTAAATGACACTGTTTTTAGCATAATGCCTGGAACGTACTAAGTGCTTGGTAAATCTTTATTGAATGAGAAAATGCAAAAATGCAGGAGATTCCCTAGCCCTGCTGGCCCATGGGTAACTGCTAGTAATCATTTGATCTCTGTATGTCAGGCCTGTCCTGTCCAACAGGAATATACGGTGATGATTTGATCATTATATACTGTATATATGTGTTGAAACATCCCTCTGTGCCCATAACATGTATAATTATAATGTGTCAATTATTAGCAAAAAAGGAAATACAATGTGAGCTGCAAATATAAGCTATATATGCGATTTAAAATGTCCTGGAGCCACACCAAAAGAATAAAAAGAAACAGGTGAAACTGATTGTAATGATGTATTTCATCAAAACCAACAGATCCAAAATACTATAATTTCAACATGTAATTAACATGAAAAGTTATTCATGAGATATTTCACATTCTTTTCTTCTTTCAAAGTGTTGTAAATCCAGTGTGTACTTGTCACTCAGACCACATCCCCACTCTCACTTGCCACATCCCAATAGCCACATCCCAATAGCCCAACAGCCACCTATGGCAAGTGGCTGGATATGGGACAGCCCAGGGCTGACTCCTCCCATTCTGGACCTGGCCAGGTGTTCCAGCACCTGCCTGGCATATCTTCTGCTGTTTCCAAAGAGTTTCTCCTCCGGGGACGTGTTTGTCTCTTGTATCCTGGCACATAAAGCACACCCCAAGCTGTACTTTCTGCCACCTCCTTAACTTGAAATTCTGTTCTCTGAAAAACCCTCCACAACCATATCTCCCTTCCTTACCTTTCTTGTAGCTCAGCCCCTGAGTCCCCAGACAGCAGTGTCACATCGACACAGAAACAGCCCCCCAGTAGCCGCTTGTCTTCTCTGTCCTCCCAAACGGAGCCCACCTCAGCTGGCGACCAGTATGAATGCTCTAAGGACCAGCAGAGCACCAGTGTGGACCGTTCCAGCACTGACCTGGAATCTACTGATGGAATGGAGGGGCCACTCCCACTGGACACCTGCCCTGCAAAGAAAGTGGACGACTTCTCTTTCATCGATGTAAGTCAATCAGCAGGAGCACTGGCCAAGTTGGAAATAGTAATTTTTTTCTTAAATGAAGTCCCATTGAATTTCCTTTTCAGGGGATAGAATCTGTACTTATTCCAAGGCCCCCTGCAGTAGGCACAGAAGGCACAGTCCTTGAGCTGGGACTCACTTGTGCATATACTTGGATCTGCCATATATCCGCTTGGATATCTGCCATATATCCTTCTTGGACCAAAGGTCTTCACATCTTCAAGCCTCAGATTTTTTTTTTTTTTTTGTATTGTTGGGGATTCATTGAGGGTAAAAGAAACCAGGTTATACTGATTGCATTTGTTAGGTAATGTCCCTCTTATACTTGTGTCTTGCCCCCCAAAGGTATGTCACACACCAAGAGCCCCATCCCCTCCTCCCTTTCCTCTCTCTGCTCTTCCTTCTCCCACCTCCTCCCTCCATCCCTCTCTCTGCTCTTCCTTCTCCCACCTCCTCCCTTTCCTCTC